TAAATCAAGATATTTCCATTTTCAGCCAGAATATTACTTTTTTAATGGGGGGGGGGGAAATCAAATTTTCTATTGCCCCAGGGGGCAAGATTTACCAAGGAACACCATTCTAAGAAAAATTAACCCCAGTACATACATACACAAAAGGAAACTTTGGGTACAGCGAAAGGAAGAACAGTCATTTGTCTCTACTTGTAGTCACTGATTGACCAGCTATTGAGAGAGACAGAAATGAGTACTTACTCAGCCTCAAACTGGTTAGGGGTAATTATGTCTGCAACAGGTACAACTTTGTCTCTGTAAACAGGAAGAAGGTCTTTTGGCACGTACTGAAAAAGAACAGCAAAATTGAATCCTATCAGCAATAATTCTGGAAGTTATGGAAGTATTTTTTCTTCCTTACATTTATCTTCATTCTGTAATATGCACGCTACTTACTATATCCAAATAGGAGGAGTATTTAACAGTCGAAGAATGAATTTTGAATCCTAGTTAATCTTCCTAACTGCGCAGATGACTTGATGTTACCTTGGATAAACCTCTGTTTCAGTTTTCCACCTCTCTCAAATAAAGAATTACTCTCTACCTAGCTTGAGGATAACTTCAATGCGAGTATAATTATTTTGACAGCAGGAGTGGCCAGCCTTCAGCATACATGCCAAGTGGCACAGGCAGCCTCTGTCTTTAGCTTGACAGGTCAGAGAGGGGGCAGGCAGCACAGTGGCAGAAGGGGCAGGGAGTGTAAAACAGAAAAGCAGATCAGGCAGGGAGCCCAAGGCAGAGAGCAGAGCAGCAGATCAGGCAGGGGAAGGGGATCAGAGTGGTACTCAGGAAGCCCATGGGGCTTAATTTGTCACACACTTGCCAAAAAGGTGGGCCCCCATTGTATCATAGGATCAAACCAACTCTTTGGGGCAAGAGCCAACTTTTTGCTCAGTCTGTGAAAGAGCTTTACACAGGGGGGTCCTACCCCATGACTAGGGCTCCTGGGTACAGTGAAAATACACATATGAAGTGATAAAAGACTGGGATTAAATGACAGACTCCTCAGCATCCTCCCTGTCTTGATGTCCTGTCAAGTTCCCAGCAAAATGTCCCATCATAAAGCCCCAGACTTACTTCTCCTCCACCAGATGATACTATTTTATTGTTGCCATTAGAGATCTGCTGGGCACAGGAGCCCACCCACATGAATGTAGTTGAAGACTGGAAACTAAGCATGACACAAGCTACTGAGACAATTTTTTTTGTTTGTTTTTTTTTAGAAAAAAATTCTGAGCAACCCTTGGAGCAAGAAGGAATGCAATCTCTTTGGATTTATTGTATTTACTTGGATATAAGATGACCCTGATTATAAGACAACCTCCCAAAAATTAGATACTATACATGGAAAAATTATAAATTGCATATCATTTTCCAGATACAGAATCTAATTATTGGAGGTATTCCTTGAATCTGTCCTCCTCCTACTGCTAGAGCAGGGAAAATAAATCTGGGGGGTCAGGTAGCCATTTTGCTCTCACCTTCCCCCAGCTTCTTCCCCTTGCAGCCCCTTCCCCCTCTTCTTACTATAAAAACTGTGCTCTTCCTGAGCACATGGAAATGATGAGCAAATTTGGAAAAACTAACTTTGAAATAAAACCTAGCTGTAGTCATTTGCATACAGTAGCTATAGACTTAATTCATCTAGACTTGATGCATTTTACCTTTTCTGAAATTGCCGCAGGTTTTAGCACAAGTACTACATAATCACACTTCATAAGCAGATGCCAAAGTGCTACTTAAAGTAGTACAAACTATGCATGATATTAGTTCAAAGCCAACAGGTTGATGATTTACTGTATAGTTCACTGGCCTGGGCTTTGCCAGAAACAAGCGTTTCAAGCAGTGGTGATCCAACAGCTCAGCACTGCTCAGTATCCATGTGTACTCCAGATTACAACCCTCCTGCCTCCAAAAGAGCCATGTGCTAATCAGTCCCTCATTCATGATGAGTGAGTACTGGGATCCGAAACCTGGCCTGGCTTCACTTTATGGGGGGAGGGGGAGGGTAAAACACTCTAATCCCATGCAACAGGCTGAGAGGGAGGGACAGAGGAATTCTGGGTGAACTGTTTGGAACCCCATTTCATGATGTTTGCCAGACATTTAACTCTGGTGAAGAACTAGGAATCACTGGAAATGGGGGAGAAAGGTGCAGCTCAGCTGTGGAAGTGACGAGGAAGTAAAAATATATGTAATGTAGCGGCTCACCATGACTTGAAAGAGTTGGTGCTGAAGGGGACCGTGTTCATCAGGCATAGGCACATATCTGTTTTGCAACCTGTGTACCACGGCACAAAAGTGTGAACAGGCATGCTGCGGAATTTACCCACGGCAATGAGCTACAATAGGTATGAAGATAGGGAATGCCTTAATAGGTATGCTGTGGAAAAATGTTATTAATGTAAGCATACCCTGAGCTGGGGAAAAGGTTGAGGAACACTGATATGTCCTTATTCAGATATGGCTGCACCCATCTATCTTTGTGATAGGTTCCCATCAGCATCTTGGCCTTTTGGCTAAATTCAAATGTAGCATTTTTGGCATCAACGTGAGGGTGTCAGGCTTGGCTCTGCCTCTCCCAGTGTCAGTTCCCTGTGGGAGGAATACCTGCCCTTGCCCCTTTTTTGTTTTGGAGTTTTGGGGGGAACGGGTATTTTATTTTTTAACGGCACGCATAAAAATAGGTTCCCATCAGCATGTTTGCCCAATACGGGTCATGTATTTTTACGGCTCAGCTTTGGCCGTATTTAATCAACTTCATAGTTGGTTTCCATTACTGAGCCTATGCTGTTTTCAGCTGTTCAAAAGATAGGCACAGTATTTAATACATTTTCCTTGTATAAAACAAGGGGCTTTTTATCCAATACTGATTGGGGGAGGGAGGACCTCATCTTATATTTGAATAAATATATTATATCTGAATACATAAAAACATGAAAATAAATTACATGAAACATGAAATAAGAGGCCATTTCAGCCTCCACAATATGACCAGGATACAGACATTAAAACTAAAGAATTCTTTAACTGGAGGCAAGAGTCTAACATACCAACTGGATTTTTAAAATTTATTTTACTTTTTTTTTTATATTAGGAATTTATTGCAATCTCTCTCAAGTGACTTAGAGAAAAGTGTCTGATACTTTCTGCTTTCTTGTCCTTTCTCTATGCCACATTCCCTTTTATGAATGTCTTGACAGCTATAGCAGCTGCTGATGCTAGAAGCACAATTCTTCCGCTTCTTAGTGTGCCTTCTGTTTTCTTGTCAAACCAGTTCCAGCTGCTGCAGGAGTGGCTGAAATCTAAGAGCACCAGCAAAGCCATCTGCTCTTCCTTTTTGACCAATTAGCTTTGTACTTTTACTCCTTAAAGGTGAAAGCAAACTGCTGTTCCTGCAGGTTTCCAGCAACTCACCATTCCCCAAGTGCCCTACATGTCTAGCAAGAGAACGCTTAAAAAAAAGGGAAGAGGAAGGAGGACTGAAGAGATCTGGAGTCAAATTAAGTCCTGATGTAAATGGCAACAATATTAGAAATCAAAGTTGCTGCAGAACAATTGAATGTTGCTCTATTAGTTTTCTGATGTTGACTAAGCAAATAATGTATGCTCAACAAATATTAAAATCCTACCAGCCTGTGCTTCAATCCATAGAGTAAAAAAAACAAAAAGTATAACTTAACATTCAGGCAATGGCACAAAAACCCTATCAGTGTGCTGGAGTTTGCTTAGGACAATTTTGTGAACGTTTTCACTCCTGTTGCAACTCAGATTCACTGATTGCTAATTAACTTCAGTTAATTAGCCCCTTTGGAACAAGTTCACCTGGGCTAACGTTCTCCATGCCTTAGTTACCCATGGTGGCTAATACCTCCTTGGTTCCATTTTCTGGTCTCAGCTGTTACACTTTTAGATGCCTTCAGAGACAATGTCTGTGTTCCCCACCTTCATGAGGCTCCAATCTCAGGTGTGGCCTCTAAGTGCTACTAGTATATAAATACTGTATTATCTTGAATATCACACCCTGCCCGCCCCAGTAATGCACACACTTGTTTTGGAAAGCCAGAATGAAGGGGAAATAAAGACATTTCCAAAAGTATAGCCCCTCAGAGCAGAGACAGAGCCTAACCTTCACCTCACTCACCTTCCCCTTCCTAGTGAGGCAAAAACTACTATCTTAATTCTTTCACAAATGAATCATCAACAGCTCTTGGGCTGCTCAGCCAAAAGCTGAAACTGTAGCTATTGCTGACAGCTGGAGTCCATGAGTGGATCCAGGATTTTGAAAAGTGCTAAAAACAGTCTGCAGGGCTATGAAATAGGAGAAGAGGGACAAAGAGTAACTAATAGGCAGCAAAATTGAGGGAAGATGCACTAGCTTGCTTGGTGGAACATCAAAACCATGAAAAAAGGAGAGAGGGCCATTAACACTTGTGGAGTGAAAAGTGATTACAAGATCTCAGGTCATTCATAATGACCCATGAAGTCAACTGGCTCCCCCAGCACTGCCTGAACAGAGAAACCACTGCTGCTTCTGGGTGGTTGCTTTTAAACTTTGGATGGAGGAGGAATTAAAGCCACAAGTAAGCAGGGATGAGGGATGCTGGGGAGTGGGGCCCAGTGGGCTTGACTGGAGCCAGCAGGGGAGGCAGGGACAGGTAGGGTGTTTACACTAAGGTATAGCTCAGAGTGGCTACACCTTACTGCAACAGGAGCTGGGTAGTATGGATCAGAGATAATCCTGCCCCAGGGTGATGTAACTTTGTGTTGCATAATGAATGCTTAAAATCAGGTTCAAGTATTAATGTGCAGCCAATACAGGTGTTAACAGCTCCAGGAGCCACCCAAAATTACCATGCAACAAGGCCCTTACATCATGTTCATGATTTTATTCTGGGCAGAAAAATGATCTTCCCTGCTTATGACATGAACCACAATTTTGGAACAGCTAATTTGGGGGGAAAGCTACACATGGTATGTGAGTAAATACATTATATAAAGAAGCTCATCACTGAATCTTCCCTCGAGCCAAAACTCCAACCAATGTGCTGCCCATGAGTATTAGGTTAGCCAGCATCCTGCAAGTGCACTGGACTAGGCCCTCACACAGTCCCATGGGGCCTGTTGAGTTTGACACCCCTATTCAACAAAGACAACAAAACCAGAACAGGTGCAAAAAAAAAAAAGTGACTTGCTCAAGGATGTACAGCAAGGCTTTAGCAAAGCCAAAAACTGGGTGAAAAATGACATTTTTTGATGTATTGGAAGTTTAGGGGGGAAACCCGTT